CCTCGCACACCAGCTCGGGCTCCTTCCCTGCAAGAGAGGTGACATTCCACGTCCCTAGAGCTAGCTTCTGCAGCCGAGGATCAGACCGCCAGGGTCCCCGCCTTTGGCTGCTGCCCAGCTCACATTGCACCCGACCCCTTTGGCCCCTCCCATGGGTGGTGAGCCCGTGAGAAGGGGGACCCACGTTGCCTCTTCGGGCTGAGCCCGGCCGGGCCCCATGAGTGTAGGCCCGGCCACCAGGCGCTCGCCAACGAGCCCCGCCTCCAGGCCTGGCTCCAGAGGGGGGCCCCGGTGACCCGCGTCCGGGCAAGGGGAACTCCGATCCATTAATTGTACTCGTCATAAGGGGTCTTTGAGCCGTGCTTTGTCTGGTCCCTCACCTAGAACCTGCCCGAGCAAGTTTAATTTACCTGGCAACGCAAGCTAGCTGAAATATGATTGGTTAAAAACTCTACCATAATAAATAAGTTATTTATCGAGTGGCTTTCAATGTTATTTAAAATAACAGCCACTCAACTAAGTGGAAATAATATGATGTAAAGAATCCAGAGAATAATTTTGTTTACATATTTGTTAAAGTAAAATAACATAAATTATAAAATAACATAAAATACATAAAAGTAAATTTACTTTTCTGAGAATGTTTAGGCCAGCAGAGAAGGCCTTGCTGGCCCTCAGGGTCCGCCACTGATTATTATGATTACATGATAAAACGTATTTGTTACTCCTGATTGGTACATTTCTTAGCAGTTCATTAGTTGTACAGTAGAATAGCACTGTTTGAAATGAATGTCCCAAAAAAAATCAATGTCAATAAAATTTTTAATTACTCTAGAATTATCTTTGAATTATCTTTGTTGTCAGTACCAGTGCTTTAAATCTGGCGATTTAAAAGCAAGCGAACAGCATATACTTGTCTCAACTGGTCTGTGACGCAAAGAAGGTTGAGAACCACTGTTTTGTGTTACAAGCGCTATAGAAATAAAAAATGTGTGATTGGTGAGCCAGAGAGAGAGAGGGGGGGATACACAAGCGCTTTCACAACAGCTGCAGCTGTAACAAAGCACTTTGCAGCACATTTAACGTAAAAGAACAATGTCAACAGAATATAAATTATAATCTAATAGAACAATGTAAAACAAATCACTATGTATTTCTTTATTTACGATGTGTATGTATTGTTGTATTTTATAGGGCACTGTATGTGGACAGCCATGTCCAGAGGGAAGATTTGGCCCAAATTGTTCCCAAGAATGCCAATGTCACAACAATGCCTTATGTAGTTCATCCACTGGACAGTGTCTCTGCAGCCCCGGATACACGGGAGAACGGTAAGAGACATCTTTCATTCCAGGAGCAGACAAAAAAAGGAAGTGAAGTACTTTGGGCTATGATTTATAATTGTGTTTAAAAATTAAAGGAATATCATTCTGTTCGATCCACCTTCTAACACAAACTGTAAAATATTGGACATGAAATTGACTGTTCATGTTTGATTCTGACCTATTGATCTTGGGTGTCAGTCTTCTGGGTGCTAGTCATAGTCATATGTATGGTCTGTTGGTATTAACACTAGAATATACTTAAGGTAGCAAACTGCACAGCTTGTGAAAAATGGAGCAAAGCTGCGTTAAAATAATACCCCTTCTTTCCATCCACATTGTCTGGACAATCACAGAAAGAAGACAAAACTAACCATCCTCGTTAGTGTTTTCTTGGACAAATCATAGCTGAGAACCCACCATGACTTTAAATCCATATAATTACCAATATCAGAGGGCGTGCACCATATACTTAAGCAAGCCAGTGATGAGACAGGAATAGCCCGTCCATGTGCCCATTAAGAATAAATAAGGGTTTGAGTGAAGCCAAACATTATGGTATAACGCTGCTTGGAAATCGGCAGCGCATGCCACACCCTAACCTTCTGGAATCCATTAACCGACGAGTGAGGGCCCCTCAGAAAAACGGAAAAAATAAGAAATGGGAATTAATTGGAGGACTTGTTTGCATGTTTTGCCAGCGAGGTGTTACGTTTGAGGAAGCTGCCAATAGGATTTCGTGTAAAGATCTCATACGTGTGCGCACAGGCATGTCATTTGTTTCGGAATTCACACGCTTGAAGACACCGGCACGATGGACAAGTGGTTAGCATGTTAGCCTCTCAGTACAGAGGTCATGGGTTTGATTCCGGGCCTCAGTCTTCCTGTGTGGAGTTTGCATGTTCTCCCCGTGCCTGCATGGCTTTTGGCTTTTGACCCACATCATGTGCGCGCGCACACACGCACACACACACACACACACACACACACACACACACACACACACACACACACACATACACACACACACACACACACACACACACACACACACACACACACACACACAAAAATGCCATTTTAATGATGATGGGACACCACCACGAAATACAGCTTTTATTCCACGCACCAAGTTTAGCCATTTTTATTGTTCATCTGGTTTTAAATAGTAAATTTGTGGGTGTTTTGTGACTGAAACTTTGGTGGAGCGGGCTCACAGTTTAGCTCCATCACAGCAGGACGCTGACAGCTCAAATTTTTCTTGGAAAATGTTATTTAAGATAAATCAGTCCTTCATTAAGTATGTTCCAAACAGCATCACCATTTCCTCCTTTCCTCTGCCATGGCACCCCCCCCCCCTCCTCCTAGAGTTTCCAGACTCTACAATTACACCCATTTCCTCAGCAACACCCGTAGGCTTCAGAGAGGCACTTTGAGCGACACGAGAATTGTAACAGTTTATCCACTTGTTGCGCTGAGGGCTCAAATCAACAGCCGCATCACTCTGTCTGGCTGCCGTTGTATGTTTGAGTGCCTGTGTGTGGAAGTGTCTGTCTGTCTTTTGTGAATTTAAAAAAAAAAAGTGACTATATTACTTTTCAGAATCGTCCAGCGCTAATAAATATGGCGCTAAAGTTGCACTGTCATCTTACAAAAAAAGAAGTTTGCATCTTTTGAAATGTGTGACTTTGTGCATTTCTGTGGACAGGTGTCAGGATGAATGTCCAGTTGGTACTTACGGTGCTGGCTGTACGAAAAGATGTCGCTGTAAAAACAGTAGTAAATGCTACCATAACTATGGAAACTGCTTGTGTGAGCCAGGCTTCACAGGCCAGATGTGTGATGTCCGACTGTGTCCCAAAGGAAACTATGGCCTATTGTGTGACAAGAAGTGTCCATGCTATTCCCAGAATATGCAGAGGTACAGTATTTAGCACTTCACATACAGTATCTTGTTGTCCAAATGTTCTACTGTGGAACATCTTCAGTGAGGTCAAATCCGTTGCGGGACACAAATCCATTTTCAACACTGCTTATGCTGAGTAGGGTCGCGGTGGGTTGCTGGAGCCTGTTCTAGCTGACTGCGAGCGAAAGGCAAATGACACCCTGAACTGGTCGCAGGGCCCTCGTAGAGACAAACAGCCATTCACACCCACATCCACGCCGTCACTGAATGGGAACCGATCCCACGCTGCCCGCACACATGTCAGGCGAGTGTACCGCGACACCATCAGTTACTGCGGGATACAAATCCGGTTTTGAAATGATTACCTCCATTGGAAGTAAAATAAATCGTTCCAGGGTCAACCTTTGAGATTCATTCCGACTTTCGGGACAGTCAAGTCAAAATTATTCTGTACAATTTGGTCTATGAACCCACAACAGTCTAAACACAGTATTCTGATTGTATTGCTTTTGTGAAACATGAATTAAGCAGGAAAACCCAACTATGAGGGTTATTCAATGTATAAGGTGAACTTTTCTGTATAAAGACTTCAAATCCAGATAGAAGCTTACTTTAGAAAAATAAAATAAAATCAATGCAGTCTCCCAGCACTGTTACACACTTTTCCCATCTGTGCACAAGGTTCCATATTCCCTCAGCCTAAAAATCTTTGGCCGGATGTCTCAGCCAGTCACTCACGACACTTTTCACTTCATCGTCACTTTCAAACTTCGTGCCAACTACTGTGAACTGCTGAGGCAGGTCAAGAAAGATAAAGAACAAACGCAGGGGTCATCAGTCAGAAGGAGTCATCTTGCATCATGACAACACAAGGCCTCACACAGAAGCCCAAATGGTGCAGACCATCAAGGAGCTGGGCTGGGAACTGCTCCCTCATCACCTTTACAGCCCAGACCTTGCCCCTTCAGACTTTCACCTGATTGGTCCCTTGAAACCATTTACGAGAGGCACGAAGTTTGAAAGTGATGATGAAGTCACAGGTGTTGTGAGCGACTGGCTGAGACATCAGTCCAAATATTTTTCCGCTAAGAGAATATGGAAGCTTGTGAGACAGTGCTGGGAGACTACGTTAGAAAAAAACAAAAAAAGCAAGCTTCTACAGTGATAATTTTACAGTTTAACCCCAGCAAGTCCCAAGGACTCGCTGATCAGAAAAGTATGAGTCCCATTATGCATTTAGAGAGTCCCAAATTTTGAATTCTGAAATGGTCTACTTATTCAATTGCATATGATAATAACACAAACAACAACAATATACATTGATAATAGGTTTATTTCTTATAAACAAATGCTGCAAAAATTTAATTAATTCAGGTATAGAAGATTTACTGAGAAATAGGTTCTTATTTCATCCCATGGTTCAATCTTTGAGTTCATAAATTCTCCTCTCTTTACTCTGCTTCCAATGATGCAAGACTCTCTCAAAGTCAACTTATCGCAAAAAAACTATCTAACTTTAGCTGCTTCCTCTGTGATATCTCCGCAACACTTGTTCGCGACACTTGTTTTAACGTTACACAACTTGGCAATCGTCTGCTTTCCGCGAGGTTGAAGGCCGATATCGCCAATCTCGTCTCGCGAGAACGGAAATCTCGCGGCGATTGTCAAACTGTGACACTGCGTTGCTGGAAAAAAAGATGTACCGTAGGTTTTTTGTTTGTTTGTTTTGACTGAGAAATTTCCTTGCATCCCAAAAACGCACATTATTTGGAACTGTGCATCCCGCACAAAAATTATGCGTCTAGGATGCGGGACGCAGAGGTAACGAGATGACTGACTTCGATCTGTATCACAAGTCCTTATACCGAAAAATTCACCTAATTTATTGAATGACCCTCCATACTTTTATCCACCTCAGCAGGTGTCCATTTTGCTTTGTACTGAAGCACGCTGGCAACAGACAATAACATCGCAATGCCTAAGGCAAAATGCAAAATTATAAGACAACATGGTCCTCCCTTGATATGGATAAAAACAGGTGGATTTCAATTCATATTCCACAAACGCAATATTAATCAGTTAACTTTCACCCAGGTCTAAGAAAAAGTGAAATGATAATAGTAACATATTAAACAAAGACTAAAGTCTTTCATGTCAAATGAAGGCAGAATTCAAAGGTAAATCCCGATGAAGATTTCACTTTTTTATGATGCTGGTGTACTACTGCTTTGAATAGGATTTCCCAAGCTTCAGCTGTACTGTTTTTTTTTTCTTGTCACATTTTCCTTTTGCGATGTGTAAAAGTGTCACGAAAATCCAAAGAAAAGGGACACTGTCCAGAGTTACATGTTGAGATTTACCTCAGATTGCCAATAAGATGCTGACTTGTTGCACGGCAGTCATTTTAATCTCAGAAGAAATCCTTTCCCAAAATCAAAATCAACCTGACAACCTTAAAATTTAAGGTTGTCAGGTTTAAGTGGCTTTTCACTTTGGAGGCTGAACTGTATTGTGTTTGACAATGTGATCACAGCTGTGGTTCACTTACTGTCAGTGATGTTCAGAAGCCTGGGCGGACATCATGTTGGAGAGCGAGCAGCTGTCAGGTTGATTCTCAATTGTCCTCTTGTTTCAGGAGGACCAGCACTGATACCACTTGTGTGTGTAACTTTTACCCCACAAGTCACTCTCACTCCAAGCACACTACAAAACCTCTTTTACAATATAATACAATACAACTTTATTCATATCGCACTTTCACAACAGCTGCCGCTGTAACAAAGCACTTTGCATAAGAGTCAACATAAAATGACAAAATAAATGTTGCCAATTACAGGCTCAAAAAACACAAGCGCCCCGGGGCTGTCCAGCGGCGACCGTCAAATAGCGCTAGTTGCATCAAACAGTGCTCCATTCAAACTTGTGCATTCACTGTGAATAATTTTGCTCCCATGCTGCTTGTATTTATTTGTATATTTTTTATGGAATATATTTTCATATGCTTGCGTGATCACCTTGATAAGGTAGAAGTAAGGAAGTAAGACATAGCAAGGACATAGGAGACTCAGGAAAGCCCCCCAAAAAAATCCATTCTATCAAAACTAGTTTCTATAACTATTATGTTAATTTTCAACTCTTGTTATTATTTTGCGTCAAGAACAAAGGTCGATCAGAACCCTACTTCATTCACTGAACAACCCCCCCCCCCCCCGCCTCTCCCACCCCAAAAACATACATATACAATATTACGAATTATGTTCTTATGAATGAGCACAAATATGTCTCACAGCCGAGAGGTGCAGGCTTTAAATCTCGGCTCAGGACCTCTTGCGCTTGCATGATTTTTCTCACATTCCTGAGGCATGTATGTTAGACTCTTGTGTTGTGTGAATGAATGCTGACCAGTCCAGGGTGTGCCACACCTTTTGTAAAAAGCCAGAGGGGATATGCTTCAGCTCACCGGTGACCTTAATGCGGTCAAGTGGAATAGAAAACGGGTGGATGAATAAATGATCACAATAAAAATAATGATCTAACAAAAAACAATGTCAATCCTTAACACTGTATTTTTCTGCCACCAGTTGCCATCCAATGTCAGGGGAGTGTACATGTCTGTCAGGTTGGTCTGGACTCTACTGCAATGAGACGTGCCGTCCAGGATTCTATGGCGAATCCTGCCAGCAGGTGTGCCAGTGCCAGAATGGTGCAGACTGCCACAGTGTTACAGGAAAATGTTTTTGTGCTCCAGGCTTCTTGGTAATCCTTTTCAATATTTCTCATAATAGTAAAGTGCTAAAGCCAAGTCTTAGTCGGTATTATAATTAAGATTATTTACCTTATTGGATTCTTACTACAGGCATTCCAGTGTGTTAAAGTAGGGGTGCACAACCAGTCAATCGCCATCGACCGGGAGCTCGCGAACTGGTCCCAAAATGATCATGGCGGGTGGAGGGGGGAAACGTGAGAAAAAAAGAAGTATTAAAAAAAAAACATAATTAAAAAGCAGGTCACCTTTAACCAATGGTGGTGCATCACCTCCATTAGCGGAAGTTGTTAGCGGTCAGTGTGCAATTGCAGCTCACGATCAGAGCCTCTGAGATATATCTATTTTTATGTTTATTCTCATTCAAAGTTTGTTTGATCTGCAATTCACCGATGGCATTATCAAAGAATCAGACTCTGGAGTGCCAGGAGAAGCATTTTAAAACGGTACTCATGAGCTATGATAGTGATGTTCATGCATTTAACATGCTGCAAAAGTGCGTCCCATGCTACCGCGTCAGGTCTCCCACTAAGGTAGGCAGTGATTTCCTTTTCACAAACTCTTGTACCTACTTTACCTTTCTGTTTCATTCATGTTTGAGGCCATTAGGGCATGCGTGTGTGCGCATGTGCCTGGGTGCGCGCGCATGCATGTGGTTTATGCGTGCACGTGCAGTCACAGTCACGGTCGATTGAGGAAGGTTGGTTAGCTTGAAAAGTAGATCTTCGCTGAAAAAAAGGTTGGGCACCCCTGTGCTAGAGGTTAGCACATCTGCTTCACAATTCTGAGGTTCATGGTTCAACTCTTGGCTGTCGTCTTTCAGTGTGGGGTTTTCTATGGGCACTCCGGTGTCTTTTGTCTTTCCAAAACATGCATGTCAAGTTAGTTGAACACTCAAAATTGTCCATTTTACACATTTGGAAGAGGTCTGCTTCGGAGGATATCCAATTTCATATGTTTTTTTTTTCTCTTTAGCTGCCAAAATAAGTATCTGAAATGGTCCAGGTCAGAGCAAACAATTAAAATTGTGACAATTGAACCTTGTAAAGTAAATCCAGCCCTAGAGTACACTCCTCTGATTTCGTCTAACCGTTCATTTTTTTCCAGGGTTTTGACTGTTCAGTCCAATGCCCAGCAGGATCTCATGGAGTGAATTGCTCCTCCACCTGTAATTGTAAGAATGGAGCGCAGTGTTCACCAGTGGATGGATCCTGCTTTTGTAAACCAGGTGAGCCGAAGAATAGGATAAGGGCAATGGAACCTCAACCAACTAAAAGGGGTCATCCTCAAAGCACCCAAAAAATGCAGAGTACATACATCACAAAATGAGTGAAATAAATCTCTTAAAAGAAAAAAAACTTGAAAGTGAAAAGTTTTAGAGTTTATCCAAAGTTACCTTGTTGGTGCTTGAGAGGAGGATAACAGCATGCAGGCCACAATGTTAGTGCTTAATTTTTTCACTTCCGTTATGATTAGATGCCATATACTTGTAGGATAGACAGATAGGGATTTACAAAAAAACAACTGAGTAATGTACCAAAATAGCATATTCCATAAACTGGCTCCAGTAAAATGAACAGCCATTGATATGAATAGGTCGATACAACATGCTCTTTTGGAGCTGCGTGCCTCTGGCGATGCTAAACTAACGTCTATGCTTTCCAGTAAATTTTAAGTGACTTGCACCCATGCTAACATGGCTGCTACATTGGTGCACATTTTAGCGGCTAAAATTTTAGCCCATTCTCGTCTATTCTAAGTCTGTTTGTCAATATTGAGAGCAGCGCAAGCCAGAAACATGTGACCAGTTTCGGTCTGTAATGGCACCACAGCGCCACTGTGGCAAATGGTGGCCAATTTGCAGCTAACAGACTTAAACAGCTGCTTTCGAAGGGCCGCTTTGAGCAGAGTGGACAATACTGTCTGTTTTGTTAATGTGGGGTCTGCTGTTCCCGGGTCCGTTAAATCTAGGTCACACTGTTTCGAGGTTTCGCAGAGACTTAATTGCAGTGGAGTTACAGTAACTCGGTCATGGGGAAGGTTGGAGGCTCTGGGTTATGCCACTGAGAGGCATTTTGCAACCAGTTCTCCCAACCTAAATATTGACACAAATCTGATTCCAGTCCCCAGGCAACACACTGCTCCTTAGGAATGGGGAAATGCTTTTATCCACATAAATAATTACAGCCTATCTTTAAATCAGGGTGGCACGGAGTGGACTGTTCCATCAACTGCCCCAGTGGTACGTGGGGTCTTGGCTGTAACATGACCTGTCTGTGTGGGAACGAAGGTGCTTGTGATGCAGTGACTGGTCACTGTACTTGTGCTGCAGGCTGGAGAGGAAATAAATGTGACCTGCAGTGCCAGGTAAAAACACTATTTCTCCCAAGTAAAAACAACTGCATTACTAATGGAATCAAAATGAAATTCACAATATTGATATTGGGCCTTTGATGTTAACATTTGCCTTGGCTAGGATGGTACCTACGGTCTTGACTGTAAAGAGCGCTGTGACTGTAGTCATGCTGACGGATGTCATCACACCACTGGGTACTGCCACTGCCTGGCTGGATGGACTGGTAAGGGAATATGGAGTCTTCACCAGGACAGCATATACCATACATATCAAATTCTGGTCCTGAATGTCATCCTGCATGCTTTCCATCCCTCGCTGTTGCAACACACCTAGTTCAAATGATCAGCTCATCAGCAAGCTCTGCAGAAGCCTGATATCGATCCTGTTCATTTGAATCAGGTGTGTTGGAACAGGGAAAGATGGAAAACATGCATGACGGTGGCCCTGCAGGACTGGAGTTTGGCACCTATGTCCTATACCAGGGATCGGCAACCCAATATCTTGAAAGAGCCATGTAGGACAAAAAAAAACAAAAAACAAATATGTCTGGAGCCGCAAAAAAATAAAAGCCTTCTACAAAACTTACAATGAAGGAAACACATGCTTTATGTATGTAGGAGACTGGACTGTCCCAGAATTGTTTGTTATTCATGCCTTTATTGTGTTCACAAACGCCCCCATAGAATTTATTTTGGGATTTCCTCGCTTGATTTTTTTAGTTTTGGTGCATTATTTTCACTTTTCTTAGTGTCAGTGAAGTGATCATGAATTTCCGTTTTTCGGAGGCTGTCATTGAATGCCTCTCGAGTTGAATGAAAAGAGAGAAGGCAAGGAGTCGGACGCAGACATGTCTGTGTTTGGCGAGACTGTTAAAAGCATAAATGAAGTGTACATTTTAAAAAACCAACACCACAGCTCTCCTTTTTCGGAGCTGCAACATGTATCTATAGCTATTTGAGCTACCATATTTTCCGCACTATAGGGCGCACCAAAAAGTCTTCAATTTTTTTAAAAGCTCACCGAGCGTCTTAAAATCCGGTGCGTCTTTTGGATGGTCATTACGGTAATACATCGACTCCAAGATGGCTCCTTCCTGGAGACATACTTCCAATGTTATAACTTGCTGTTGGTTCAGTGAACTGTGTCACTGCTTTATAAATACGTTTTTGTTGCAGCTCCGAAAAAAGGAGAGCTGTGGTGTTCATTTTTCAAAAACAGTTTCAACAAATACAGGTACGTCTTTGTCTGTCTACGTGCCTTCTTCCGTTCGACTCGAGAGGCGTTCAAGACCGCCTCTGAAAAATGTAAACTAATGATTACTTCAATGAAACGACGAAAATTGAAAATAATACATCAAAACTGAAAAGCAAGCGAGGATATCACAAAATCAATTCTGTAGCCCCCCCTACAGATTTTATTTTGTGATTTCATCATTTGTGAATACACAACAAAGGAATAAATAACTACTACTGACATCTGATCGTAGTAGTCATGGTGCCATGATCAAGGAAATGCCAATGCGTTTTTCGGAGGCGGTCATGAACGCCTCTCGAGTTGAACGGAATAAGAGAAGGCACAGAGACGGACAAAGACTCACCTGTATTTGTTGAAAAAAGGAGAGCTGTGGTTTTATTTTTTTATGAAAAGGCAGACTTTATTAATGGTTTTCACAGTCTCAACAAATACAGGTACTGTACGTCTTTGTCCGTCTCCGTGCCTTCTTCCGTTCCACTCGAGAGGCATTCATGGCCGCCTCCGAAAAACGTAAATTAATTATTACTTCAATGAAACCACGAAGAAAATCAAGCGAGGAAATCACAAAAAAAATTCTGTAGGAGGGATATAGAATTTATTTTGTGATTTCCTTGCTTGATTTTCTGTTTTGATGCATTATTTTCAATTTTCGTGGTTTCATTTAAGTACAGTAATAGTTAATTTACATTTTTCAGAGGCGGTCATGAACGCCTCTCAAGTTGAACGGACGCCTCTCGAGTTGAATGGAAGGAGCGCAGCACCTTCTAGTGGAGGCATTGTAGATTGCGCCTTATAATGTGAAGCGTCCAATGTATGAAAAAAAATTTACAAAATAGCCATTCATCGAAGGTGCGCCTCATAATCTAGTGCGTCTTTTACTGCGGACAATACGGTATATTAGCCTACTATCAAAATATTTTTCCATTTTCAAACATTTTTTTATAAAGTTCCAGGGAGCCACTAGATGTTGCTAAAGAGCCGCATGCAGCTCTGGAGCCGCGTGTTGCCGATCCCCGGCCTATACCAACGGACTTAAAAGCTTGCAGCTTACAAGGGCTGATCAAAATTTTTATAAATCGCGATTTGTTGATTTTCAGACCAATCATTTGACATTCTTGGTATGAATTGACCAACCCACAGGCGATTTTGTGAAGCGCTGTGGGCGTAATTATCCATGGGCCTAAGGAGCCGTCCGCCCAAACGCCAGCACTTTGGTTCTTCAGTCAATTGGTTCTTCTGTGGGTAGCATGTAGGAAATACTTGCCCCTTCTTTTGACTTCTGTTGTTGTGGCACCCTGTTCCAATGACACGAAACTAAAAACAAGAGCAAAGACAAAATAAATACTTACAAGGCGAGAGACTAGAGGGGGGGAAAAAGACAATGACGAAATCGAGAGGTCTAAGACTTGGCGCTTTGGAAGTCCTTAAATACATGGCTTAACTTGATGAACAAATTGGCAGCAGGTGTGCACGCAGGAGCGAAAGCCCTCCTCTGCCACCTGTTGGAGACACACAAGAACAGGATCATGACACCCATAATGCACCGCATGACCTGGAGATCTGCAAGTGGACTAAAAGAAAAATTTGTTATTGACAGTGTTCAAGACTACATTACTCTGTGTGTGTGTGTGTGTGTGTGTGTGTGTGTGTGTGTGTGTGTGTGTGTGTGTGTGTGTGTGTGTGTGTGTGTGTGAGCAGGTATCCACTGCGACAGTGTGTGTGCAGAGGGCCGCTGGGGCCCAAACTGCTCCCTAACCTGTAACTGTAAGAATGGAGCATCCTGCTCTCCTGATGAAGGAACATGTGAGTGTGCACCAGGATACAGAGGCAGCACCTGTCAGAGGAGTAAGTGTTGAAGTTTTGATGAGGTGCTTTATTTTAAATTGTGATTTTAACCCTGTACATTTATTGATGTTTTCAACACAGTCATAGAGATGTCAAGCCTTGAACATGGCTACAAATGCTACACTAAGCAGGGATACTTAAACCAGATCCCTAAGGTCAAACATGCTGGTCAGCCTATTGTTAATGTTTGTGAAAACAAATTTACCAAAGGAAAGAATAGTCACTGAATTATTCTGTTTCAATTACAGTCTTTGGATAGTGTTAAACTTGTTCAATGTTAACTGTATTATACTGTATAAAAGCAAAGCACTCTTGTGGATTAGTCGTGCCTACTGAGTGAAAACAATTTGTAGCAGTCATGCCGGATATGCAGAGCCGTCATGAAACAAACGCAGGCTTTTGTACAATTTTGGAGGTCTATTTTTCCTGAAATTTTGTTTACACTCTGCATGATACGACTTCAAGGGCATTTGTGATTTCACTATATAGCAGTGATTCCCAACCAGTGTGCTGTGGCATATTAGTGTGCCATGAGAGGTATCAAGTCTGCTGTGGGAAATTGCCCATTGCCAATTACTTGGATGGAAAATTATTTTCTCCCCCCCAAAAATGTTTTGTTAATCAATCTATGCCAACCACGTATAGTAACAGGCAGAACAATCAAAAGTTCTTCTACTAGATGAAGGAAGGTACATTTTTAACCTATGTATCCACTTTTTCTCAATTGTTTTGCTAAGTAGTGTGCCGTGAATTTTTCTTCAATGTGAAGTATGTGCTTTGGTTCAAAAAAGTTTGCTCCTGTACAGTATAGTAAAGATTGAAGTTGGTACATTTTGGGGGGTTGACTGTTGCTGTGGTGATGAACATTAACCCTTTCATGCACCCTGTAACCTGATAACATGATACGCTGTCCACTGTAGTAACCGCTGTCCCTGAAAGGGTTTAAGTGAGATTTAGACATGAATTTACCAAATATTTGGGGTCCTTTTTTCTTTGCAGTCTGCTCTCCAGGTTACTTTGGTCACCGTTGCAGTCAGACGTGTCCCCATTGTGTCCACAGTAATGGACCATGCCACCATGTGAGTGGACAGTGTGACTGTCTGCCAGGCTTTAAGGGGTCACTTTGCAATGAGGGTGAGCATTACACCTCACATCTCTGACCTTCTTTACTCCAGCATCCTGGTGGTCCCGACCAAATAGTCAAACTGTAACTGTCAATGACATATTTTTGTCATCGCATTGCAAATTGCTGTTGTTTAAGAAAGACATTTGATCTTGTGTGTAGTGTGTCCCAGTGGTTACTATGGGAAGAAATGTGCCTTGAGCTGCACTTGCACCAACAACGGCACCTGCAACCCTATTGATGGCTCCTGTCAGTGTTTTCCGGGATGGATCGGCAATGACTGCTCTCAGCGTTAGTTCACTCGCCTGATTGATAGCCGATGTGAAACGTGTGGTGCTGGTTTACTGCATTACCTTGCTTTCACTGTACGTCACACCACACTTGATGATGTCTGTGTTTTGCAGCATGTCCTCCCACTCAATGGGGACCCAACTGCATCCACACATGTAACTGTCACAACGGCGCCTATTGCAGTGCCTATGATGGAGAATGCAAGTGCACCCCAGGATGGACCGGCCTTTACTGCACACAACGTCAGTCAAATACACATTGACTTTTTATTTTTCTTTCCTTAATAGTAGAGTACTGTATACCTATTTGATAGCGATTGTGCTTGTCGTCTTCGCTATCACAAAATAAGATTTCTTATCTTGACCGATTGGAGCAACCATAAACTGATATAGTGGTGTAGTGTTGAGACCGGTCTCAAGGGTACTTTTTACGGGTCTCAGTCTTGTCTCGGAATCGAAAGCATTTTTACTCCATCTTGTCTCGATCTTGGAAAGGGCGGATTTTTTATCAAACCGGGAGGCCAGAAACCGCTGGCAGAATGTCCAACTTTTAGACATAGAGAGGAAGCATAAAGAGGGTAAAGTAACCGGTAAATTCACTACACAGTACTGGGAATGTTAAACTCAAAACATTCCATTTTAAGACACTGAGCAAAAATAAGCTCTTTGTTCCCCTCAAACGTTCAGAGCAAACGGGGATTTAATATTACAGCCAAGTTAGCTGGCATAGCATTGCCAAAAACAAAATATGTTTACTTGAGAAGTTCTTATGCAATGGAAATGTTATTCATTATACCAATACATAGGTTGAGCTTTAGACCAATGGGACATAATTCAAGTCAATAGCATACTCTGTCTTGGTGCTTCAGCTGCAGGAAGTTGATGTTTGGTTCAGTAATAAACCTGAAATTTCACACTTTGCTAACTTGTTCAAAGTCACTAACACTGATTGAATATGGTGAATCAAATTTGTTTAGTAACAAACATTGCTTAATAAAGGTTAAAGCCGATTTTAAGACAATAAAAACTCATGGATGGTAATGTTAAAGAAGGAGCAAAATCGAAGTGAAATTTCATTTTTTAAAAAGTGAATATACCTCGTATATGGACGATGTAGGGATGCATGTTTCTGACACTTCTGTAATTTGATAAACAGTATTCATTTCCACGAAGCACATACTTGTTTGTTGATGTACATGCTTTTGTTGCAAACAATGAAACAAAGATATGTATAAATGTGTGTGTGTGTGTGTGTGTGTGTGTGTGTGTGTGTGTGTGTGTGTGTGTGTGTGTGTGTGTGTGTGTAGTCTTGATAATATCTCGGTTACGATCGGTGTGGTCTTGACTACAACTCTACACAGGTGCTCACCATTGTTATGAACACAGAATGCATTTTGCAACGATTTTGCCTCAGGCACTTGACCGCCTGCCCTCAGGGTGCACCCGGCGTACACAGTAGCTGTCTATTGGAATTACTCAATATGATGTTTAACAGTAGATGTCCAAATGTTGCACCTTGCTTCATTAAAAATGCACATTCATGTGAATATCGAGCCTATACCTCACTCTCACCAGCATGAAAAGGGATGGAAATAGGCTGTTAAATCAACACATTTATTCTGCACTCGATACTGGCAGCCGGGTATCGGCCTTAGTAACAGAATAACACAACTTCAGAGTCACAGCTGATTACTGTTTTTTTTTCTCAATTTAAATCAGTGTTTTGACTTTTAGTTGTCTTGACTCCCGTGCAGGTTGTCCATTAGGATTTTATGGGAAGGATTGTTCTCAGAGATGCCAATGCAGGAATGGAGCAGACTGTGATCACATCTCTGGACAATGTACCTGTCGCACTGGCTTCATGGGTCAGCACTGTGAACAAAGTATGTAAATGTGGTTTTGAACAAAGCCATGTGCACTACCTAAAAATGGTCGGTCTTGAATATGTTATTTGCAACAACTGTCCTGAAAAAGGCAGTTGCTGCAAATGAAGACAGTTTTTAAAAAAATTATTATTAATGTCGTTTTCATATTGTTCGATTATAAACTGTAAAAAAAAATGTGGGTCCCATCTCGGGGTAATGGGAGACAATGACACCTCAAGTGTGTGTTTTACGTCAAGTCTACTTCGTAATTTTGTTTTCGTCGCCGTTGCTGCAGAAAAGCCCCGCCTCACACAGGTAGCATGTCGGAAATAGCAACAGTGCTACTGTGGCGATCTCAGAATATTCAGCCATAACTTTAATCCAGTTGTCTCGAACGTACTTTTAAGGCCGCCGTCATTTGATCTCCAGCAGTTTTTTTACTCATTTTGCGAGCTCTGGTGTTTTGTTTTTAAGCGGAATCGGTCACGTGACGGAGAAGCGTGGCTTGACGTGTGTCAAGCGTGACACAGACGGATGTAACGGAGAATCCGGTAATTTTTCAAACTAAAACATCTTTCGTATTCCGAAATAAATAAAACGGAATTAAGGCAAGTTCTTTCTGTGCGGCCCGGAACCAAATGCCCTGCGGACCGGTACCGGTCCGCGGACCGGCGGTTGGGGACCCCTGCCCTAGGCCATCCCGGGTATCCAACCAGACTACTTTCATGAAGTTCTAACGCTAAATTTCAAAATAAAAGGCTTCTGAAATATATAATTTTGACCTTTTCTCCTGACTTTAAAAAAAATCCTTAAACAATTAATTCTAGTCATTTCGCAACCAAACCAACTCTAGGGCACATTAGGTCATCCGAGGTATCCAACCAGACTACCTGCATTAAGATCTAATGTTGCATTTCAAAATAATAGGCTTCTGAAACCTGACATTTCAACCTTTTCACCTGATTTAAAAAAAATCAATACATGAATTTTAGTTATCACGCAACCAGACCAGATCTTGGGCACACTGGGCCACCCCAGGTATCCAACCACAGTACTGTCATTAAGATCTGATGTTGCATTTCAAAATAAAAGGCCTCTGAAATCAGCAATTTTGACCTTTACGCCTGATTTTAAAAAACAAACATTTAAAAATGAATTTTAGTTATCCCAGAACCAGACCAGGTCTAGGGCACAGTAGGCCAGACCAGGTATCCAACCAGACTATATTAAAATCTGATGTTGCATTTCAATATAAAAGTGATTGATGATGAATATTTTCTTACCTTTGAGTGTCATCTGTTCTTGTAGAGTGTCCCCTTGGTTCATATGGATATGGGTGCCGGCAGGTGTGTGACTGTCTCAATAACTCCACTTGTGATCACATCACTGGTACATGCTACTGTAACAATGGCTGGAAGGGGGCCCGCTGTGACCAAGGTGAAGATACACAAATATGCCTCTCTTGGACAACCTAATATTTCTACACACAGTAAAGGCTTAACATTAATACTGCTTTCTCATCCTCCTATCTGCAGCTGGTGTTGTTGTTGACAGCCTCAACACCTTCACGAGTGCTGCAGTGCAAGTGGACAACTACCAAATTGGAGCCATTGCAGGAATTATTGTGCTGGTGCTGCTTGTGCTCTTTCTCCTCCTCCTCTTCATTAAGTACAGGAAAAAGCAGAAAGGAAAAGAACCTCCCATGGCAGTGACGTACACTCCTGCCATGACGGGGACCACTGACTACACAATCACAGGTACCATCACATGTGCTTTGCTTCACTCCATGAAAAAAATGGAGTGGATCTGTTCTTTCTTTCTGTAGTTGTTTGTATTATTCATGGCACTGGATTATACTGAAAAGGAGGAACTGCTCAATTTGTATATCAGCGACATTTTTGATGACACTACTGGAAAGTTTGATCGTCCAACACACTCCTGGACTGACTAATTTGAAACAAAAGAGGGCGACGTATCTGCATATGAAGTATGGACATTACTTGATACTTGTTATGGACTTCTCTCTGCAGGAACCACAATTTTTTTTTTACACTGTACGGGTTTTGTGTTGGTGGTGCGCAAGTGTAAGGGGGACCCAAGTCCACACAAATAGGCACAGAATGCATGACCTTTGGGGAATCTTAACAAGTGACTGAAAGAAAATAGGGCATTAAAGACAGAGAGACTGGCAAGACAACAGGGCACACCTGGACAAGACACAGGTGGATGGAGAGAGCTAAATGCCTGATGCAAAAGAGGAGCAGTAAAAATGAATGAAATTCTACATCACAATATAGGAGACAATATTATGTCTTCTACGTCAGATGACGCTGATGGGAAAAAAAGAAACAGATAATTCGGGATGTCACAATATTCATGGAATTCAGAGTGCCTTATTGCCAGGGTCTTGCTTCAGTACAAGACAATTTTACTCAGCCTGTGGCTTGGAAGACTACACTTACATTACCAATCGTGTGACTTTATTCTGACAATAATAATCATAATATATTTATAATAGGCAAAGTAGGGTGATGAAAATGTCATTTTGAGCCGCATTGAGTTTGGCCCTGGGCCAAACTATGTTGGCGATGCTGCTCTATGGAGTTTCAGGGGCCAAGCATGAGGTTATAGCTGACCAACCGAGTAGAGTGATGGAAGCAGGGTGTGATGGCAGATGCGTGATTTGTGCCACTGGAGAAATGAGGGCCTCAAATGGCCACAGAGCCCGAACAGGGACCTTGAGCTGCTGCGGGGCCCATACGAGTACTGCATCCGCCTGATGCCATGAAGGTTGAGGGGCACAAGAAACGAGGGGGAAAGAGGGTGCAGAAACTAGAGAAGGAGAGCTTTGAAATATGGGTGTCCAGACTTTCACCATCGAAGGTCATATTTGGAAATACCTGCCACCAACGAGGATTGGCCTGAATATTGTGACAACAAAATAGGCAAGGAATAAGATGAGGGCAACACAGCCATGGGATGTGGTGAGAAAATGGGTGCATAATGACACGACGGGAGAATGGAGTAAACAGACAGACTTTAATGTGCCTTTGTTGACCACCATGCGGAGGACCCATACAAATGACCAAAGAAGTGCCCAAACAAAGATCAGAGGAAAGACACATAGGTCAGGGAATAAACGGACTGGGATTAGAAAAATTACAAGGATAGAAACCGGAAATCTCAGGCTCAGGATTTTAAAATCAGAAGACAAAAAAAAAAAAAAGAAAAAGTGGAGTAGAAGGACTTTGGCCAAATAAAAAACTCATGACATACACCAGAAAGACTGGAGGCCAACGGTGAGAGGGACAGACAGTGAAGAAAAACCTATTTTGCCCCACGGACCGGTTTAATGTCAGACAATATTTTCAGGGACCGGCCTTTAAGATGTAGTGGATAACTCCAATAAAGTGGGGATCTCACATTGAGATATATCCATATTTTAAGTAGGACTCCTGATACTGTCTAACTTAACTATACCCTTCTTTTTCTTGAAATTTGTTGGCTTGTCTTCTGTCTCCTGGCTGGGCCTTTTCCGCTTCCCAAAAGAAACTTTCTAAAGATGTTTATTTTTTACTCATTTTGCTAGCTCCTGGGTTTCATTTTAGCGGTAACCTATCACATGACCCAGAAGCGGGCCTTGACCTGCGTCAAGAGTGACATACTCAAGACGGATGTAACAGAGAATCCGGTATTTTTTCAAACTAAATCATCTTTCAGGTTCTGAAATGCATAGAACGCAAGTAATGTAAGTTATTTATTTTTTTCTGTGCGGCCCAGTACAAAATGACCCGCGGACCGGTACCAGTCCATGGTACCAGTTTGGCCATGTCTGGTCTATTGAGACATAAAAGCACACCGTGATTAAACACAAGTGGATGGAGATCACAGAATGGCTGATACGCACATTGAGCAGGGATGACGAGAACAGGTGGGGACAAAAAAAAAATGAGCAGGCTGGGATGGTATGAAGAAGATACCCTGGAACACATCCATCCATTTTCTAATCCACTTACCCTCACAAGGGTCGCGGGTGTGCTGGAGGCTATCCCAGCTGTCTTTGAGCAGTAGGTGGGGACACCTTGAACTCGTTCCCAGCCAATCGCAGCCCTAGAAAACACACCAAAATGAAATAACACCATTGTAATAATTTCTAGTAATCTGTAATAAGAATGTCATGTTAAAGCAAAAAATTAAAAATGAACAAATCTCAGATGGTGGCATATAGACCCGCTGGTTTTTTTTGTTGTTTTTTGTGAATTCATGCTCAGGCAGCTTGGATTGATGTGGCTCATGTCGTGAATGATGAATTCATTATTTCAACGTTGTTCACTTTTCAGATGCTCATCTACCACGTGACGTGCACCCCAGTAACTACTTCTCCAATCCCAGCTACCACACTCTGACCCAGTGCACGAGCCCACAACATAATAACTCTCCATATAGAAAAGTATTTTTGATTATTATTTATACATTAGTGATGCACGTTATGAGAAATTTCAACCGATATTACCTGCCTTGTTTGGCCGATACCAATATATTGGTTGTCACAGTATAAAAGAATAAAACGTCTTAATCCCGGCTCTTCATAGAGTGGAGTCGAAGGATGATATGATAAAGTGGTCAGCAACAATGTACGGTTGTATGTTTTGCTACTTTATGAACTCTTGTCATGTGTATAGTACCAACTGATCAACTTGGTTGCGTTTTGTTCTCACCCCCACTAGTGTTTTTTGTACCGGTATATCGAATATGTCAAAACAAAAGCAATGAAGTAGTACAAAAAGAGCACCGCATGTGTGCTTGTGAGTGTCGACCACCACAGAAGCGAACAAGTTTGTTGACAGACAGGAGTGGGAAGCAGCGCGAGTGAGTGTTGTTGTATGTAAACAAACACGCATGTAAATGACCATTTACACTCAAGCTACACATAGGAAGTATAGTATGACATAGTGTCATGTCATAGCATTTTCTTGCCATCCATCCATCCATTTTCGGAACTGGGTATCCTCGCTCTTAGCATTGATCGGAGGAGTGTCGCTTGACTTGGCTGCCTCACGTTTCTTTACGCTACCTCCGCTGCCTACCAGACCTGACAACAGAACACGGAGGTCCCGCTGGTCGGCTGTCTCATCCCTGATGTTGAAAAGTGTGGGGAAGCTTGGCTGGCCAGCTTTTGTTGACGTTGCCTACACCGACTACAGCGCCTGCCAGAGTAGACAACAATCCACAGAGGTTGCGCCATCTGGTCTGTGATGTTGACATGTGATGAATGGTTGCTGGAAGTTGGAACTTGTCACTTTGTACTGTAATCCAATGTCAATTACGTTTACATGATTATGGTATCCAGCAACCAAGGTAAAAGTACAATTAAAAAGTAAAGGCATGGCTCAGTCATCAGGACTCAGGTCGCCACTTGAAGCTGGCCGCCCCCGAGGCGCTACCAGTGACCACCGCTGGAAGCCTCTGCAGTGGCTCTCATTCAACTGAATGGGACTGTGCGTGAAAATATTTACCCCAAGTTTCAGTATTTATAACAAATATTGTTTTTAGAGGTGAGGAGATTTCGACTGGTTCGAAGTTAGTGTATTTTAATGCGTCTTTTTTATTGGCCGAAATATTGGCGTAATTTTGTAGTATCGGACCGAAAAAAGTGACGTTATTTTCCAATCTCGGGCCAATAAATATCGTGCATCCCTAATATACATAATTATGTACTTTGATTAACTGTTACATGCAGGTCACTTTAATTGTAATATTTTTATTTTGAAGGGTAAAAGCAACACGTTTGTGAACTTGAAGAATGTGGAAGACAGAAAGAGATGTCCTCTTGCTGATGCCACTGGCACATTGCCGGCAGACTGGAAACATAGGGACTGCTTCAGTGAACTTGGTGAGCTATGTATTACAAATTGTTTTCATGGAAGTGTTCACTCCAAGTGAAAGAAAAATGACTTCTGCTCCACTACTTTGGGGTATTGAGTATTGTATGCCACTCCATCGGCCATAGACTGTATGGCCGATGGAGTGGCATATACAATAAAGTCTCTATGGCATAGAGCAGGGGTGTCAAACTCATTTTTGTCGCGGGCCACGTTGTAGTTACGATTTCCCTTGGAGGGCCATTATGAATTTTGGGAAACCAAATAAATGTTTAATTCCCTCCATATATTACATACAGAGCACACAACAAATTGATGAATAACTAGTTTTAAAATCCAAAGTCAAGAATAATGACTGTTATTGTGGATTATATATGACAATTGAAAATTTTGGTTCAGACTTTAGCAAGCGTCATGGAACTTGACATGCTTGATTTGCTTTCGCGGGCCAAATAAAAAGATGTGACGGGCCAGATCTGGCCCCCGGGCCTTAACTTTGACACCTGGCATAGAGAGTTTATTGTGTGCATAGAACACAGGTCATAGTTTGGATAGCATAAATTAGTATGTTTCGAACATGACTTGAGAGGCCAAAAATGCCTGCGCAAGTGTTTCCCATGAAGACGCAGGGCTCATTATTTTCAAACGATTATAATCATTTGCTCCAAATAACACACTTAGGTCCATCTATTGAAGCCTGCGACATTCAGTGACAGACACAACAATTCGATGCCCTTACACAATATGGCAGACTATACAAAATTAACCTGTTGCAAAAGTTGTGTCATTTGAGGCCATTAGTTATCACTGGGGAACACTTGTTTTGCTGACGACGGACGGAAACACCTATACCATGTGTCCTGCTTGTTTGTTGGCGGGGGTGAATAAACAGGCCCCAAAATACGTCCTCAGGTTGCCATGTAGAGTGGAAACTTATAGGAGCAAAATGTGACCGATTCTTCCGAAAATGTATATGGAGTAGAATAAAAATCTAATTATCATCGTCTGAAATTATTAGAATGAAATTCTATATTTTGGATGATTTTAACAGATTTACTCATGTATTTCACAGTCTCACAGTCCTTGTCATAATTCTGATGTTAATATCATCCAAAATGTTGTGAGTTCGAATATTTTCAGACTATGATTATTAGATTTTTATCCGACTCCACATACATTTGGGTTAGAATCGGTCATGGTTTGGAGACTTAAAGGCTTCTATGAAAACTATTGTGGAGACTCCCGTCTGCTGCCTCAACAGCCTGAGCCCCACTCCCAGCCTGTGCGAGTTTGCAGGTTTGGCTGTTGGAGCTGCACCTGATCAACCTGGGCCTGCCAATTGGGGGCCAGGTTGGTGGTCGTCTCAGACGTCATATGAGAGATGACCGTATCCCAACCCGATCGTGGGCTCGGGGATGGCAGCTTTGGGTGGCTCCGAGAGGGCTTCAGATATCGCAGAGTGAGGAAACTGAGCCATTGTCACGAAGAGTCAGCCAAATCAATGAGCAACCTCCTCATTCAGAATGAATGGGCGCTGGTGGCGAGCTTTGCGTGCCACTTTCGAAAATCGCCATTGCACTTTTTTATCCACCTTTTTGCAACCTTGAACAAACCCTGATTTAAAAAAAAAATAATAATAATTTGGTTCATGTGCAAACAATCGCTAACCTGCACCACTCTGTAAGATTAGGCTTAAAGGCTCTGGATGTTGTGAGACTGTCTGTTGAAACACCTCTGCGACATTGTGTGGGCATTGGAGACAGTTCCTCTGGATTGGCAACCCCGGGTGGTGGTCCACCTTTTTGAGAACTACAACGGGATGACACTGATCACTCTTCTTGGTAAGGTCTATGGGTTATGTACAGGACTGTCCATCAGGAATTTGAATATCAGATTCAAGAAGAGCAGTGCAATTTTTGTCCTGGGCGTAGAACAGTGAACCAGCTCCACACCCTCAACAGGGTCCTTGAGGGTGCACTGGAATTAGCCCAACCATTTCTCAACCATTGTGGACTTTGAGAAGCCCTTCAACCATCTTCCCCTGGGGGCTCCCGGCGCCCTGTCCCACCAGTGTCAGAGTTTGATCTACATTGCGAGCAGGAAATCAGATCTGTTTCTGGAAAGGGTTTGGACTCCACGAAGGCTGCCTTCTATGTGAGCGATTCTTTTAATACCTTAAAGAGCAACGTTTCTTGGCACAGTTGAGGCATTGAGGGTGTTTGATTCATGGCATCAGTACAGTATGACGTCTCTGCTTTTGCAGATTATGTGGTCCTGTTGTCCGCGATCTTCAGCTTGTTAGTATGAAGTGTTTGGGATGACAATCAGCACCTCCAAATTTAAGGCCATGGTCGTAAGTTGGACAATGGTAGAGTGTCCTCTCCAGGTCGAGGATGAGATTCTGCCCATGTGGAAGTGTTCAAGTGTCTAATTTACAAGTAAGGGAAGAATGGAGTGGTTTGGTGCACTGTGGAGTCTGCATCTGTCTGTTGTGGTGAAGAAGCTCTCCATTTACAGGAAGATCTTCATCGTACCCTTGCATATGATTGTCACCGATTGGTAGTCACCCAATGAAGAAGACCATGGATGCAAGTGGCCAAAATGAGTGCCCTCCGTATGGTGCGCAGGTTCCCCCTTTGAGATAGGGTGAGAAGCTCAGTCATTCGGGCGGACTTTGAGAGGAGATGGCTAAGGGCTTGGGCATGTCGATATGATGCCTTCTGGGGACTTCTCTGGTGAACCACTATGGGCTTGTCCCATTTGGAGGAGGGCCTCCGGGGATGGGCATGCTTAAGTGTCTGGGATTCCTTTCTTAAAATGCTGCTTCTGTAATCTGACCCTGAATACGTGGAAGATGGATGAATGGATGAGAAACACTTGCGGCTTTGTTGTCTGGAAAAAAAATGAATAATGAGACACAGTGATCACAAAGCAGTCCTTTGCATTCATTCTCATAAACTCCAAACCTCTTAGAACAAGGGTGTACAACATCGGTCCGATCCAGTAAGTTTTAGGTGTCTCCCTCCTCCGACAAACATGTTGGGTTTGGAAGGGGCTGTCCTCTAACACGTGCCTAAAAGTAAAACATGCTGGGCCGCGGTTTGACACCCTTGTCGTAGTAGTATTCTAAAGATCAAAGTATTCATTACAGGACATAAAGCATAAAAAGATTTTATTTGTCTTAGCTCTAATTATTTGGGGGGAGTCTATTGTATACCATTGCCTCATATTCAAAGTAACACTTTCATCATGTTGCTCATTTTATGTATAACAGTGCAATTTTCATGCTAAAATGGTCTGATAACGTTTCTGAATGTGATACTGGGTCCATATATCCCCATCTTTCAAAGACATGCAGCACAAACTGTTAAGATTGCAAAAGCTTCATCACACATACCGGTTTTTTTACTTCCTCAAATTCACTGACTGCTTTCAATTTCTTTTCTTTTTGCAAACCATGTGCTTAAGGAGTAGACAGAAGATGCATGGGCAAGTCTTTGCGAGGTAAATTCTGATCATACACAGGCTGGAATTGACCAGTTTTACCAGTTTAATGCTAAGTGTTTTTCGCACCGGTGACTCTGTTTTATTGTACAGACCTGGTGAAAGGCATACCATATCATGGAAGCTCCAGCTCCTTGAACAGCTCTGAAAACCCCTACGCCACTATCAAGGACCCTCCCATGCTGACAACGAAAAACACTGAATGTGGCTATGTGGAGATGAAGTCACCTGCCAGACGGGATTCACCCTACGCTGAAATCACTACAAGCAGCCATCTGACGAATAACAAGAATGTCTATGAAATTGGTGAGGAGCAAGTGGTGAAAAGAAATTTTGCTTGGTCACTATAAAAATATCCTAGAACTACAATCTGATACCAAACCATATCAATAATATTCACCCAATGAATAATGAATGGAATAATAATCAATCTTTTGAGTAGTTTTATAGAAAAGTTTACTGCTTTACTTGATTACAATATTTAATTGGTGCTGTTGCTATGGGTACTGCAGTTAATTATTTTCTCCAGGTGCACCACAGCATTGTACATGCCATGGCCTGTCAGCATAAATCAGCAGATAGAAAAAAATGCCTTTATTAAACAGGTAGGCGATGTATAGTAGATCTGAAAATGTGTCTGAAGAATGTTATCTGCACAGTCAATCCAAAACTTAAATTTTTTTCGCTTGTGGCCAGAATTTTTGGCAAATGTGTTTTTCATTAACTGCAGTTTTAAATATTTCGAAAACAAAAGTCAGACAATGCAAATAAAAGTCATGTGCAAACTGAAGCAACAAATTTTGTGAAATACTAAGTTTGGGTCAGAGCAAAAATCCTTGGCCAGCATTTACCACAGGTTATATTTTGACCGAAAGTGTGGAATTACTCACAAGTTAAATGACTATGTCAGTTGGTACTCAAATATATAAACTGTAATTAAATTTGACGAAAAACACCCGCGCAAAAGTAGTGGGACAGTGAGACCCATTCCTGCATTTTTGCTTTAGAGTGCTGGTTTTGTTTTACATCAAAAGGTGAACAACAGAATAGATCAGGCCTTCGTTTTTATGCAGTCATTAGCTTTGCAAAGACAATGATCAATACATGTCCTTGCTTCAGTACAGTTTAAATGTTCAAAGGGAGTAGGAAGAAGTCGAAAAACTACCCCTTGTTCTCTCTAAATTATTAGAAATCATGTTCTCATGTTACTCCACAAATAGTTTATTCATAAATATGTACCAGTATATATCCCAAATAAAAACAACAATGCTCCTTTACCTATGTTCAAATAACTAGCGCAACGTGTCGACCCATTATTCAATATACACGCTTTACAATCTTTGGTTTAGTTTTTCTGTTGTATACCAACATACTTTGTGAAACTTTGTCAGTGTTGCAACCTTTTTGTAAATAAACCTTTTTGTCAATCCCTTCTGAGTTCACTCCGAAGGATTTCTCAACTCAACTGTATTTATAGAGCACTTTAAAACAACCATCACTGTATACAAAGTGCTGTACATGGAGCAAATATCATATATACAACAATAAAACAACAAATTAATAACAAAGACAGTAGAAAGCACCAAACAGGAAGACTAAGATCAAATCTGAGTCATGCCGTGTCAAATGCCAGAGAATACAAATGAGTTTTGGGACGAGTTTTAAAGATGGGCAACGAGGGAGCTTATCGAATGTTCAGTGGGAGGTCATTCCAAAGAGAAGGACCAGCAACGGAAAAGGCTCGATCCTCTCTGACCATCCGCTTAGTTCTTGGTACTTCTAATAATGTCTGGACCGCAGACCTGAGACGTCGGGCAGGTGTGTAGGGGCGGATGAGCTCAGAGAGGTAGGGTGGCACGAGGCCATTTAAAGATTTGAAAACAAATAATAGGATCTTAAAAAGAACTCTAAAATGTATCGGGAGCCAGTGAAGGGATGCCAGTGTTTCAGACTTAGAATTGTGCTGTGTTCAGCACATTTCTTGGAGGGTGGCTTACTAAATGTAGACACTAAAATGCATTTCCAGGTTTTTAGAGTCACACCTACACATTATCTCTCTCTCTCTCTCTCTCTCTCTCTCTCTCTCTCACACACACACACACACACACACACACACACACACAACACACACACACTGATCAGTACCTTCTGGCTGTTGCGACGTCATCACAGAGGTGTACCGCTATTTAAAAAAAATTATATCCATAAATATATATTGAAAAAAGATACATTGAGAACCAGACGAGAATGTGGCTTCATTCTAGTTGCTCAGTCCAGCCACAATGGAGGTGGGTGGAAAAAATTTTCTCCACGGGGTAAGATCTTCACCCTGCCGTGGCCATCTCATAGTACATTCTAAGACTGGACTATGTGGGGACCAATGTTACAGATTGTATTGAGACTTAATTAATTATGCTGAAAAAGACCGCGTGCGAACTAAAATTATAAAACTGACTTTATCTGTGTCACAAATCTCTATTCCGTGATTTGTTGTATTTTGATGTAATGGTGATTTTTATTTTTGAGTAACATATTTACATTAGGCGGCCAGTGGTTAGCACATCGACCTCACAGTGCAGAGGTACCGGGTTCAATTCCAACTCCGGCCTCCCTGTGTGGAGTTTGCATGTTCTCGCCGGTCCTGTGTGGGTTTTCTCCAGGTGCTCCGGTTTCCTCCCACATTCCAAAAACATGCATAGCAGGCTGATTGAACACTCTAAATTGTCCCTAGGTGTGAGTGTGAGCGCGGATGGTTGTACGTCTCTGTGTGCCCTGCAATTGGCTGGCAACCGGTTCAGGGTGTCCCCCGCCTACTGCCCAAAGACAGCTGGGATAGGCTCCAGCACCCCCCGTGACCCTTGTGAGGATCAGAAAGCATCAGAAAATGGATGGATGGATGATATTTACATCATGTAACTTGTTATGATCTCAAGTTTGGACAGGCGTGATCCTGGTTTGGCCACCGTGTGCGTATCTGTTGTTGCTCACCGTGGTCAAAGGGATGCTCAGGGAGTTTGTGTGACCACTGAGACACATGAAAAATTAGAGGGAACATTGGCCAACTGCCAGCAATGCAAATCAAACTCGGACACCAGTGATACAGGGACTATACAGGCTGTACTAGAGTGTCCGGTATGCCATATTACAGCAGTACCTCACTGGGTCTTCTTAAAAAGTGGGACCACCACCACGATTTGCCAAGGCACTGTCCCCAATGTCTATGTGATGTTGCAGAGGCGTGTCAACTTGGACAGCCCCACAAAATCCAGAGCCCAACCCCTGAGGCCCTGCCACAAGAAGCTTTTTAATCACCTTGGTTAACTGCTTCCCCCTCCGGAGACACCAGATGGTGGACCAGAATTTCCTTGACACCATCCGGAAATATTTCTCCATGGCCACACCGAAGTCCTGTCACAGTTTTTGACCTCAGTGACTGCCAAAGCTGCATTCCTCTTGGCCAGCCGGTGCCCATCTCTGGAGTCCCACAGGCCAAAAAGGCCTGAAAGGACTCATTCATCAGCTTGAGAGCATTCCTCACTGCTGGTGTCCATAAACGGGCCGACCACAGCTCCGATTGGCTGCCTCAAGAATGGAGGCACGAATCATGGTCCACTCGGACTCAACGTCCCCCACTTCCCCCTGGACATTCACAGTGAAACGCCGTGTGAGAGGGCACTCTGCTAGATGTTGCCAATAGACTCTCACAAGACATTTGGATCTGACAGGTTGGACCAGCAGCTTCCATCACCATCTCAGTCAAACACAACATCAGGTGGACATCTGTCTTGTCTAGGGAAACCAAGACAACGAAAGTATTTTTAAAAAATTATGAGATGTATTTAAGAAAGAAAAAGAAAAGAAAAAAAACATGAAGGGACACCGTTCATAGATCTGTCAAGGGAGCCTTCTCCCTCTCCGTGTCTTGCGCTCTCATTTTATCTTGTTGGGAGGTGGTGAAGGCCAGCGCAATCAGCATTTTGAGCAGCTACACAGAGTACAGACTAGTGCAACTTTGCTTATCCGCAAAATAACTGGTTGGCATTCAAAGGTACAGTCAGCATTCAATAGTACGAACAGTTACTTCCATTTCGCGCTGTTGTATGTCAAATTCCCATTACACATCAATTGACAGCTCTGCCCTCTCCTTCATCAGAGTGTCCAAGACAGTGGTTCTTAATCTTTTTAGAGGTACTGAACCCAACGAGTTCAGTTGCACATTCACCAAACCATTCATTAGTGAAAAATAAAAAAATATTTTTTTGACAAATTCATGATATTAAAAAAAAAAAAGTAAACGTAAAGAAAATTTCAAGAGATACGTTTGTTTGTTTTTTTTAATTGTACGACGTACTATCACAACAGTCGCACGTTGACTATTAAGGGAACTCAATTTCCCACAGCACTGATTGGACAAGCAATGTAATGTGATCATCTGCAGCCAGTGATGGCGAAACGGGCCTGTCATAACTAATTGACATGTTGAGTCACGTGTGTCTTACCCTCCATGGCAGCAGTCTCCGTCGAACCCCTGAGACCGATTCACCGAACCCCTAGGGTTCGTTCGAACCCAGGTGAAGAACCACTGGTCCAAGACATGCAACCGCATGTCCAATGAAACAAGTTGATCATTGAACTGCAGCCTAAAAGAGACCTGGTGCCAAGTGCACATGTGGACACCCTTATATCTGAACATGTTGTCATGTCTCAGAGTGAACCGGAAAGAATAGGATCCCCTAAATGTAGACAAGAATAATCAGAAAACAAGAAATCTATTGTAGAAAAATGCAATAGAAAGTACAACAAAAGCCGCTGGCAATAAAAAGACAATAAAACTAAATGAACAAAAAGCGCTTGCAACCTGCAAGGAGAATGAACTAGAGGTGTCAAATTATCGCATTAATTGCGATTGGTTAATTACAGACCATTTAGCGTGTTATTTATTTTTTTTTTTTTTAGTCACGTTAATCTCGATTTTAATCTTTGCCTTTATTGTTTCTGTAGGTGGGTTGCCTTTTTCTAATAGCACTTTTTATGTGTTAGCTTCCTGTGTTCGGGTTGTTGAGGGTGGGGAAACAACTGTCAGTCACAGCCTGAAGCGGACATGAATTGGCTGCCATTATGTTGGGGCTTGTTTAGCCGAAGCTGATAAACTCCCGTTGGGAGTTGGGCAGTTTTAGTAAACTGCGGTGAGGAGTGGAGAGGTGAAAATGGAGCAGGATGTGTGAGTTCTCGGCACAATGAATGGAAAATTTACATTCCAAAAACGCCCTGACGACGCAATTGATAAAGGTAGAGTGTTGTGCCTAATTTATAAGGAGTTTGTGTACCACCGAAGCAGCTCAAATTTAGCCTCCCACATCAATGCAAAGCACCCAGTCGCGAGTACAGCCACAGCTAACGTTAGCACTGAAAGTGTTAGCAATATAGCGAGCGAGCCATACATAGCAAAGCTCTTCTGCAAACTAAACTCGAGAACATCCCATGTACGAGGCATAGTTCATGTGTCCTCTGTAGACTAGTAGAAGTGATTGATGTTTATTTCAGCACTTTTAGTTTGTCATGATGAACAGTGTTATTTCTGAAGTGCTAACTTACAGCATTGTGATTTAAGGTCTCTTATTTTTATTTTATTTTTTTTATTATTATCCGAAGCAAGTTCAGTGTTGAGTACTTGTATTGCTCAGAAAAATGTTTCTTACTGTTTTTGATATTTTAATCTAAACACTTTCTAAGGACCTGATGTTCTATTTTATTTTTATTTTGTAATTCTTTGGAGATTTACAAAAACAAACAAAACAGTGATATTCCCCCTCGTGGTCAAAACTAAAGGTTGCAGGTAAGACTTTGACTAGTCTGAAATACAGCAGAAAGTAAATGGCTCGGACTGCATCTGTCCAAGTCTGCTGAAAAACAATAAAATACTTTATAATGCCACTTTTTCTTTTATCGTTCGATCTGCCTCAATAATGTAACGAATTTAAAATGAAAATAGGGGTTTTCTCAGTAATTTTTAGATGAGATTAAAATATAGATTAATTAGATTAATTACGATCTAATTAATTAATCACTTTTTTTTTATCGCTTGACAACACTAGAATAATCAATGCTGAATCACTTGTCACAGAAGTGATATATACTGTCAATCCAATTACATGAGTCCAAATGAGCAAGATTAACAAAACACCATGATAAATGCTTACACACGAGAATAAAGCACAAGACCAAGAGATCTATGAAACATGGACATGAACGTCTACAAAATCAAACACTTGGCACAAGAAGAGTGAGCAAGGGTGAACAATCCGACAGATGGCTGCCGAAGTCAACCTCCTTTTAAAGTCTCTTGATTATAATGCATGAGAGGTGTGACGCTAGAGAGAACACCTTCCACTCACGCGGGGACTGAAACAACAGAACAAAATCAAAACCACGAGAGTTGTTGGTTATGGACAATCCATGATGAGCACAGGAGTCCAATAACAGAACATCGGGTTCTGAACGGGGTCTGATCTTTCACCTTGGACAACTTCAAAGTGCAAGTCCAACCCCTGCAAAGAGAACTGGTACCAGAGCCAAAATTGGTGAAGGCAAGTTAGACTATATCTAGTTGGAGCTTCTCAACCTCACACACGAGCTTGAGCTCCTTTTCTGACAGAGAGGTGACATTCCATGTCCCGTTCAGCTTCTGTCACCGGGGCTTGGACCTCCAAGGTCCCTCACCATTCACCACCACCTTACTCTCTTTGCACATGACCACTTTGGCCCCTCCTATAGGCGGTGGGCCCACGAGAAGGGGGACCCACAGAGTCATTACAAAGAGGCAAAGTCAGAGGACCTGTGAAATACGCGCGAGTCAGAATAACTACAATTATTTGTAAGAAAACGTTTGTTTTTATTTCTTTTGTTTTAATTCTACAGGACAGTAATGAATAGTAATTGAAAAATAAAGCTGAGGACTTCACGGATTTCACCTATGCCTTTACAGCAGCTCCGATACTTTTTGTTCTTCTACTTTCTTCCTTTCATAACTTTGCTGCTGTAAATTGGGAATGTTTCCATTGTGAGAGGAATAAAGGTTTTCTTATTCTTATTATCACGGGTTCTTTTTGGAACATACCTCCCGCGATAAATGAGGGTTCACTGTTTTGGTATGTGACAATGAATGTTCTGTCCACATTGTTTGAAATGTGACATGGGTAAAAGCACATGACATGAACGTCAATTTTCTTTGCTGCATAGCTTAAGAAGTGCCACACCTTTGATTTGAAAAAAGAAAAAAAAACACCACAAAAAAATACCCGAAGCACAGCCACTTCACGGCCACAAATTCAGTGGCGTCTGGTGATACGAATGACTCAACTTTAAGGTTTTTGGAGATACGAGCTGTTAGTTGGCTTTTTATTTTTCTTTGACGAACGAGCGCAAACTTGAGATATAAGCAATCTTTAGCCTCCATGGAAAATGACAGCTTGCAGGAGCAGTGGAAGTGTATGCTTCTTTGTTTTTGTCTGCAGGACTGTAGAATATTGTACTGCCTCCTGGTGACCAAGATGGGCATGCCAGAAGGAGAAGCACAATTAATTGGATTGCAGCATTAAATTATGATGTACAGGCATGTTTAATTCCAATTTAATTGTGTTAATACTCTAAGTAATCGCTAATTATATTACATAGAGCATGCTTCCTGACAGAAGGCTGCCATGTTTCGCCACCATCTTTCTGCTATGGAGACCCGAAGGAGGCAAACTTCACAAACGTAGTTCCTCAATGTGATGACTACAGCATGTCTAACAAATGTCATGCGTTTACTCCGTCACTTGAGGGAATATTAGAGTTAGCTTGGGATGACATCTTGCTTGCATCCTTACGGAAGTAAAGGGTCGTCGGCTAGCAAAGTATGGTCTCTCTGAGACACCGTAGTGCGCGTGCTCAAAATACATGCTTCGAGCTTAGGTCATTGCATTCTGTTAGTTCACTAGATAGCACTAAATTCTACACACTGTACCTTTAAAAAAAACGCAAAACAATTAGTCTCCAGATGGGAGAAAGGGGGGAGGCTCAAATGGATAAATGGTATTTCCAGTCTTTTCCATATGGAAATATGTAATGAGATGCAAGCGTTTTGAGTTACAAATGTGGTTATGGAACAAATTAAAATCATATCTCAAGACACCACTATATTATTTTCTTGGGCTCCTGTCATTTATTGGCCCTTAGAATTATCACGTTTCGCCCTTTTATGACACAGTATAATACATATTGTCATTATTCAGTAAATTAACGTCATGTTATCTCATGTGTCTTTCATTCAGAGCCAACTGTAAGCACTATTCATGGCACTGGACAAAGTAGTGACTGCCAGCAGCCAGGCCAGGACCCATACGATCTACCAAAAAACAGCCATATCCCTTGTCACTATGATGTTCTACCAGCCCGAGAAAGTCCAACATCAGATGACAAGGAGCTGGATAGTGACTGACAACAGAGACTCACCGCAGAAATACCTTTTTCAACTCCACAACTGGAAGCATCAAAAGTTTGCTTATTTTCTTCCATTTTTGTGATGTGTTTTAAGCCTTCCCTTTATAACATTTATAAACATAGTGGGGATATAAATTTGCATTTTCAACTGAAACCTTTTTTTTTTCCCCCCAAGTGATTGAAGATAAATAGTTTCATACATGTCATTTATAGCACCCCAGAATGTTTTATATAAGCGGGATGTTTCCAAGCAGCACAGTGGAGTAAGATTTTACACTAACCTAAATCAATTTATGAGTAAATTGAGGCAAGATCACCGTTATTTCACTATTCATACTTTTTGTTACATTTTCGTTTGTTTGTGTGCTGTGAGAGTTTTCTTATGTAAAATGGACGCCTTGGCTCAACAAAGGTTGGGACACACTGAATTAAGTGAATCTGAAAATTTCCCACTGGTGTGAATGTGACAAGTTGTAGTAGTAGTCGTGTAATTATAAAGTCAAACATTTTCGTGCATTAACACCATCCGTGTTCACAGTTTCATGTGATAAATATCATATCTGTCCCTCAGAAAGAGCTACAAGGACAAAAATCACCTCTTTTGTTGCAGTTGTTTGATCATCAGCTAGAAGTGCTTTGAAACAAGTATTGTAGAATATTACCCGATATACAGTACTGTGTTCAACAATTGACATGACATTATTCTCGTAATATCATAATCATCTCTTATTATTTTGTACATTAGCAGTGTGTTTTGGGATGGGGGGGTTATCTTGTGAACAAGGTGAGAATGTTAGAGCAGGAATTCTGACAGGAATATAAACGCAGTACATGAGGTTGATGTATGTGACTGACAAAACGTAAGAGAGGCAGGGGCATGGCTCAAGGAAGAGAGTCCTGGAAAAAGCCTTCATAGCTGTTCTGAATACGTACTGCAAGTGAAGGTGCAAGACCTCTCTCTGATATGATTACATGTAGTGGTTTGTATTTGGTACTTGTTAAAACTGTCAAGTTTCAACGATTGGGACTAATTTGACATTGGGCAGTCAAACTTATTGACCATGTCTGATTGAAAATTCCAAGTCAATAGGGAGCATGAGTGGCCTTCGAGTATCAAACGAATCAAAAGATGCAAACCCAATCCCAATGGAGTTGGGACTTTGTGCTAAACAAATAAAAAACGGAATACAGTGATTTCCAAATCATGTTCAAACTATATTTAATTGGGTACGCTACAAAGACAAGATATTTCATGTTCAAATTGATCAAATTTATTGTTCTGGGCAAATAAGTATTAACTTCAAATTTTATGGCTGCAACACATTTAAAGCGGGTACAGGTGGCAAAAAGACTGAGAAAGTTGAAGGATGCTCATCAAACACCTGTTTGGATCATCCCACAGGTGAACATGGGGCGAGGTTCACCGCTTTGTGAACAACTCCATCAGAAAATAGTCGAATAGTTGAAGGACTATGTTTCTTAAAGTACAATTGCAAGGAATTTTGGAATTTCAACATTTACGGTCCCCCCCAAAAAATCATCAAAATGTTCAGAGAATCTGGAGAAATCACCCATGACCTCCGATCCCAAAGGAGGCACTGCATCACAAACAAAACATCACTGATTTAAAGGATATGATCACATGTTCTTGAGACTTCAGAAAAACAATGTCAGGAAATACAATTTGGCGGTTACATCCGAAAGTGCAATTTAAAAGTCAGCTATGCAAAGCAAAACCTGTTCATCAACAACACCCAAAAACGCCGGCAGCTTCTCTGGGCCTGATAAAATCCAAGATGGACTGATGCAAAGTGGGGAAAAATGTTCTGTGGTCTGACGGGTCCAATGTTCAATTTGTTTTTGCAAATTGTGGACGTTGTGTCCCCCAGGCCAAAGAGGAAAAGAACCATGCGGACTGCTCTGGACAGAAAGTTCAAAAGCCAGTGTCTGTGCTGGTATGGGGCAGTGTTAGTGCTGATGGCATGAGTAATTTACTCATCTGTGAAGGCACCATTAATGCTGAATGTTATGTGCCAGTTTTGTAGAAACATAGGCTGACATCCAAGAAAAATGTTTTTTTCATGGACGTCCCTGCTTATTTCAGCAAGACAATGCCAAACCACATTCTGCACGTGTTACAACTGCTTGTCTTCATCATAAAAGAGTGTGGGTACTAGATTGGCCTGCCTGCAGTCCTGACCTATCTCCCATTGAAAATGTATGTTACCGTATGAAGTGTAAAATACGACAATGGAGATGACAGATTGTTAAACAACTGAAGCTGCACATCAAGTAAGAATGGGGAAGAATCCCACTTGCAAAGCTTCAGCAATTAGTGTCCTCAGTTTCCGAACGTTTATTGAAGATTGAATGATTCCGTCTCAGCTTTTTTGGAACGTGTTGCAGCCCTAAAATTCTAAGTAAATTAATATTTGCTAAAAGCAAAGTTTGTCTTTGTCTTTGTAGAGTATTCAATTAAATATAGATTGAACAACATATATTGAACAACATCCCAATTTCATCGGAGTTAGGTTTGTATTTATATTTTGACCACATAAGTCTTATATGGAAGAGTGAAGATGACAATCGGTATGACAAATAGTATTGTTCATTTGTTTTCAGCACATGTAAATTAGGTGTCTGCGGCTGTTTTATATTCCATTAAGAGACAACATTCCATTCAGACAAGAGTTACTTCATCAATCTAATCATTTCACTTAATTTCCTGTTAAAATAATTCCTAATCACCAGCCCTTTTTTTAACCACTTTCTTCTTTACTAATCATTCATATGTATTACTTTTGTTGATACGGTTTTTACAGAATAATCTGCACTATCACTTTGCAATTTTTAGTGCCATTTACAGCAGCTCTGCATAACGTTCTCTTCCTTACAATGGTGTTTTCCATCCATCCATCCATCCATCTTCTACCACTTATCCAGAGTTGGGTCGCAGGGGCAATAGCTTTGGCAGGGAAGCCCAGAAGTCCCTCTCCCCAACCACTTGTTCCAGCTCTTCCTGCGGATCCCAAGGCGTACCCAGGCCAGCTGGTGGTGATCAGTTGATAGCTCCACCCGTCTCTTCACCCGAGTGTCCAAAACATGTGCCCACAAATCCGATGATACAACCATAAAGTCAATCATCGAACTGTGGCCAAGGGTGTCCTGGTGCCAAGTCCACATATGGACACCCTTATGTTTGAACATGGTCTTTGTTATGGACAATCCGTGACAAGCACAGAAGTCCAATAACAAAACCACTCGAGTTCTGATCGAGGGGGGCCGTTCCTCCGAATCACACTATTCCTGGTCTCACTGTCATTGCCCACGTGAGCATTGAAGTCCCCCAGCAGAACAAGGGAGTCCCCAGAGGGAGCGCTCTCCAGCACACCCTCCAAGGACTCCAAAAAAGGTGGGTATGCTGAACTGATGTTGGGTGCATATGCACAAACAACAGTCCAGACCTGTCCCCCCAACCCGAAGGTGGAGGGAGGCTACCCTCTCGTCCACCGGTGTGAACCCCAATGCACAGGCGGCAATGAGGATGCCCACACCTGCTCTACGGCTCTCACCATGGGCAACTCCAGAGTGGAAAAGAGTCGAAACCCTCTGGAGAGAGCTGATACCAGAGCCCAGGCCTCCCATCCTCGTCTCACCCCTCGGGTGGTGTCCATCCCTCATTCAGCTCGGGTCCTCTACCAGAGGCCAGGAAGCTTGAGGGTTCTGCGCAGTATCCTTGCTGTTCCCAGCACTGCACATTTCTGGACTGAGATGTCCGATGTTGTTCCCGGGATCTGTTGCAACCACTCATCTAGTTTGGGGGTCACTGCCCCGAGTGCTCCGACCACCACAGGCACGACTGTCACCTTTACCTTCCAGGCTCTCTCCAGCTCCTCTCTGAGCCCTTGGTATTTCTCGAGTTTCTCGTGTTCCTTCTTTCTGATGTTTCCATCACTTGTGACCGCTACATCTACTACAACGGCTTTCCTCTGCCCTTTATCTATGATCACGATATCTGGTTGGTTCGCCATTACCATCTTGTCAGTCTGGATCTGGAAGTCCCACAGGATCTTCGCTCTGTCATTCTCCCCCCCCGTCGGAGGGGTTTCCCATTTTGACCTTGGGGTTTCCAGTCCATACTCCGCACAGATGTTTCGGTAGACTATGCCAGCCACCTGGTTATGGCGTTCCATGTAGGCTTTCCCTGCTAGCATCTTACACCCTGCAGTTATGTGTTGGAT